CCAGATATTCCTATCTTAATACACTGGAGTAGCTCAGACAGAAAAAAATGCATCTCATCTTCAGTTATCTTTTTCTACCACAAAAGCCACTCTAAACACTCTTGTGTAAATTACTATTGGCTTGTAAGATATCAGATGAAGTTAGGTGTGGTGGCACACATCTGTAATCCTTGCACTGGGGAGCCTGAGACAGGAGGATGATCATAAACTTGAGGCCAGCCTGAGCTACATAGCTGAGTTCTTTGATGGTCTGAGCTACACAGTGGCTTTTAAAAGGGGGACAGGCAGGGATGAGAGGCTAGACAGGTTTCCAATAAATGAGACCTCAGAGCTTCAGACCCACATGGGAGGTGAGGAGAGTGGGACACAGACAACACAAAACCAAAGTCCAGGAAACCCATCAGCATTCCCGTGTGAGCAAGCCGTGGCAGCTGCATTCACACTCGTGAAACAATGCGGGAGAGTGCTGACACCCAGCCACTCTGCACGCAGAGCCCCCTTCCACACTCCTGAACCGATTAAATGAGAACGCCTCGATTTAGATAACTGGAAATTGCTTTCCGAGCCTTAATTTCCCATTAGCTCATTAATCTATTCAGACTCCCAACAAGACAGCTGATGATAATTCCGGAGGAAGTGGGCACTTAACAGGAGAGCTGTGGAGGGGGAGAGGGGTTGGGCCTGAGGGAGAAGTTTCTGGCTTCCTGGGTGGAGGGATACCCCAATGTTCATTTGTCAAGCCAGTAATGGTGTTAGCTTTCGTTAAATAGCACTTATAATGGGTCAGGTATGGGAGGAACGAAAACTCTGGTGGGCAATTACCTTGTTTATCTTTTTCTGTTTAACAGTTTAGTAGTGACTTCTCCCGCCACTGTGACAAAATGCCGGACACAAGCAAGTTCAAGGTAGAACGGTTTACTGTGACTCACATTTCAAGGGTACAGGTCATGCTTGGGAAGACATGATAGCAGGGGCATCAGGCAGATGGTCACGTGGCATCCACAGTCAGGAAGTAGAGAGAGATGGATGCTGGTGCTCAGCTCACTCTCTCCTTTTTATTCCATCCGGGACCCCAGTGCATGGGACTGTGTGTCCCACAGACAGACCCAATCTAGAAACTCTCTCACAGACACACCCAGAGGTGTGAATCCTAGAGATACCCGATCCCATTGGGCCTACAGTCAGCTGTAGCTATCTATTGAGGTAGCTGTTGTGAACCCCTGGTAAGGAGGGAGGCACAGAAGTGATCACGTGGCATCAGGAGTCACACACATGTCTGCCCTGCAGCTCAGGCATCTGATCATGTGTCCTTTCCATATGTCATACATACGCACATATTGTACATACACATATACTATATGCATTTCTGTACAGATGACGATACACGAGATCGAGGTGAGAGGAGGACCTGGAAATCCCAGAGCCCTTGATTAAAAACTGTAGTCTATTACCATGACCATTCCTATTTCCCTCCCCACCCCTTCCTCCTTCCTTCCTTCCTTCCTTCCTCCCTTTATCCTTTCTTTCCTTCTTTCCTTCCTTCCTTCCATCCTTCCTTCCTCCCTTCTTTCCTTCATTCTTTCCTTCTTTCTCCTTCCCTCTCTTCTTCCCTCCCTCCTCTCTTTCCATCTTTCTTCCTTCTCTCTCTCTCCTTCCCTTCCTCCCTTTCTGCCTTCCTTCCTCTCTTCTCTCTTGCTCTCTCCATCTTCCTTTGACTCTTTCTTTAACAGGGTCTCACTGTAAAGCCCAGGCTGCTCCTCCTGCCTTTGCCTCCTGACTAGTCTCCATGCAGGGCACCATGTCTGCCCTGCTCTTTAAAGCAGCCTGCATCATCCAATCTTACACTGTCTTTTCAGCCAAAGTGACTTCATTCACCATCTAACTGTCTCCCACTCTACCCACAGATAAAGTCCACCAGTCTAGGGACTTTGTGCGTTTTCTCTCCTGTTGTTGCTTCTGGTGCCTGGAAAACCCCTTTGGTACACAGCATTAATATTTTAAAATTAAACATCCTTAGTTTGAAAATTTGAAATCCAAAATGAGTTCACCAAAAACACTGCAGAAATTGAGTTTAAGTTTGGGGGTTAAACTTGGTTCTCAGCTCCAAGATGCCTCATCACATATGCAAATGTTGTCATTATGCATTTCAAACATGAAAACACTTTTGGTCCCAAGCACTACTACAGACAATGGCTTCTTCACCTGTAATATTAAATATCCAGCTGGTAAATATTAGGTGAATGACCAGTGAAATGGCCTTGCCCACTTCCTTAAGAAGTGACCTCCGACCTCCTCATTCCCGGGGTCACTTCTCCGAGGTCATTCACCACTGTTGTTTATTCCTGTCCTCCGAGATTAGTCTTCTCTTGACTCTTTGACCATGGCGTCTGCATATTGCCTGTTCATGCCCCTCACCAACACCCCTATGAACCCATTCAATGCGCCCACAGCTTTGTCAGTCCTTGCAAACACAAGTAAATAAATGTCTCTGCCCTCCATTTAACTAAAGCTCCTCAAGGGACTTTATGCATAGGATAAGTGTGGGTTTCAATTGTTAACCTCAGTGTGTGTGTGTGTGTGTGTGTGTGTGTGTGTGTGAGTGTGTGTGTGTGTGTGTATACAAATATATCACGGTGTTGGCTCCTGTTCTGTTATAGCTGACAGAGGTATGTGGTTGGGACAAAAACACACCCAGACACCATAGCAGCTACAGCAGCAACTGTTATAGTTGAAGGGCTGAGCACATTAGTGAAGTCATGGGTACCATCCAGCCCAGGGTTGATCTGAATTCTGACCTTGCCCTTCCATATTGCCTGGATCTACTTTGCATAAGGTGGAGTGAGAGGAGGTGAGAGAGATGTTTCTGGATAACAGGGTGAGGTAAGGGCATTTCAATGACTCCTCCTAGCAGTCCAGCGATGGGTGCCAATATCATGTCCACTCTTCAGAGGAAAAAAAGCCCAAGATTACAGGCCTCTTAAGACTTCAGGCAGAAATGGGACCCAAACTTAGTGTCGGTGGCTTCCAGAACCTCAGCTCCATGTGTGGCCTGTCCCCAGCTCTTGGCAGGGTCTCAGGCTCTGCTCATTACTCCTAGAACAGAAAGCAGGGAGGGTGGCCGCCTCTGGGTCCCACCTCTAGTGCCGAAAATTGAAAAGGCTTGAGCAGTGTTCAGCCTCGCTGACTCCTGGCTGTGTCCCTGTCACCTAATTACTTGACTTCAAAGCCTCCACGCAGCAGGTGTGAGGATGTGAGAGCCATTTCCCCTACAGAACACAGCATGACTTGATACAATCAAGATGGATCTCCAAGGCAGCAGGTGTACTGGGGAGATCAGGCAGCTTCTGAGCCAGACCTAAGCACCTGCCCTTGTGCAACTCAGACTCAGAAAGCTGAGGGGTCACCAGAGAGCCAGGAACCACAGAGGACTGCAGCTCAGAATGCTAATATACACCAATTACTGTCCCAACCACCCTTAGACCATGGAGCTAAAGGATCCCCAGGGGCTGGAAATAATTAATCCTCCCCACAGCCCAGGCTAGCAGGGAGTTCAGTGTGGCAGACTTGCTCAGGTAAGGCCACCAGACAGGCATTTTGCAAGATGCCTGAACAGGTCCAGGAGAGGGGGGGGAGGGGAGAGGGAGGAAGGGAAGGAGGGAGGCAGGAAGGGAGGGAGAGAAGGAGGGAGGGGGACTTACCGAATGTCTCCTATCAATCAGATACATGTCCACCCCTATCTTTTTCATACAACCAAATGTATCTGTTTTGTAATTGCTGGACCTGAGTAAGTAGTTAATACATGTGTGCAGATATATACAGAGAGACACATAAGGACAGAAATGTGAGGTGACATACCCATGATCACACAACTACTAAGTGGCAGGGACAGGATTTGAACCTGGTTTAATCTGTTTCCAGAGCCCATGGCTGGTGTCAGTGTTTTCTCTTACCTCCTTCCTAGCCTTCTGTCAGACATGACAGAGAATGTGTATAAGGAAGGGGTAAGGCATGGATGTGCCACCTTCCAACCAGAATTAGCATCCACCATGATGCCATAGAAAGAAACAGAACAACAGTTAAGGGGGCAGAGTTCAAGTCCTCACTCCTACTTTTTAGCTGTTGAGAGACAACTTTTACAGACACAGAATGGGGAAATCATAACATACTGTCAGGACAGTACATGACAAGAAAGAACAGAGGAGAAAGGACTTTGCAAGTTATCAAAGGCATCATCGAACCACAGGGCTGGAGCCATGTTGTCAACTGTCTTTATAAATAAAGTTTTAATGGACCAAATTCATGGCCGTAACTATTTCTGAATTGTCTGTGGCTTCTTTCAAAATACACAGTCAACTCTGAACAGCTGCAAGGGAAACACCAATGCTCCTGAGGCCCATGGAGCTTAAAGTGTTTACTACAGGGCAACTAGAAGAAACGTTTGCTGACGACTAACCCTCCTAACCCTCGAGCTGTGTCAGCTGCTGTTTCTGCGGCAGAATACATGGAGCAACTGTAAATCAGGGGGCACAGACCACCATGGTGGGCAAACCTGGCGGTTGGAGCATGAGGTCCCATGGCAGAGGCAGTGAGAAAGCAGAAGGGGAGCCGGTCTACAACAGTTAACCCCTATTCCTGTAATCCAATGCCAGCCAGACCCCCACCCTACGTCCAAAAGGATACAAAACATCGCGTGAGATTGTGGGAAACACTTTACATTCACAACCACGATAGAGGCTCTGAGCATGAGAGGCCCCACTGGTCCCAGCACATGATGTTATGTTAACCATCCATGGTCCCCTCTCAGCTCTGGCTTTACTCAGAACCATTCTCCTTGATACCCTACCCAAACACACAGCTCCACCTGGGACCCTTCCTGAAACACAAAGCAAATGTCTCTCCCCAGAGTCAAGAACTCACACCTCCCTGGAGTGTGCCAAAGCCCAGCCCAGCACTGGCTGCTGGGGAACAACAAAAAAGCCCCTTAAAGGGAAATCACTCACTTGCAGTTTTTACACTTGAGGCCAAAAAGCATCCCTTTCCCGCAGACAGTGCACGTCTGAGACATCCAGTACTTGGTGGAAAACCTGTGAGAAAGAAACAGGAAATGTTCAGGTAAGGCAGTGGTCATGGGTCCATCTCCAGCAGGATGTACCCCTAGAATGGGAAGTCTATAAACCCTGGATTCCAGCTCTGCTTGTTCCAAAACAGGTAATAAGTAGGTTCAATCTAGTTGCTTAAACCATGAAGCTTCAGTTTTCTTGCCTGTAAAGTGGGAGTAATCTTGATGCTGACCTCAGAGGTTACTGGGTCAGGCATGCTGAAGGTGTCATAGCATCTGACACACAGGCAATGCTCAATAAATTGGGCGGTGACAGTTATTACCTTGAATGTTCATTATAGTCATTTGTTTACTCGACGAACACTGGAGGTGGTCTACCAATGGCGAATTCAATGCTATAAGAGAGCACTGGACCTCCAAATCCGGTAGCAGAGGAGAAATCCCCCTGACAAATGGAAGCCTTTTCAGACACCATCAGTTTATCTTCCCCCAGTCACTGCCACCTGCTGCAAATACAGTGTGGAAGTCCCCACACATCACGGTCGCCAATGCTGACCGGAAGTCACCAGATTAACTCGCAGACCGGCCCTCCTGTGCTGTGCCATGCTTTCTGCCTTGAGATAGGAGACAGAGATGGGGCTGGATCCAGCACAAGTATTGAAGGTTCCCAGGTCACAGTTAATTTTAATTTTCAATTTGTGCCACCGTGGGCAGTAGTTGTCTCTAATCTGCACTGCCTCCTCCGAGTGTCAAAGGGGAAACACGGATGTGGTTACATAACTCAGAGACGGATAACTTTGGGGAGAAAGGCTGCTTCCCTCTGCCGTCCCCTCTTGTGGGATCTGGGTCAGCCCTTCAAACACAGCGAGCCAGCAGCAGCCCGGATCTGCCACAGCTAAGCAAATAGCAATATTTACAACGGAGACGCTGGCTTGCTGATGCTCCCTCTCCATCTTTGGACTTGGGCTTGGTTAAGCCCCTTTGGGTCTTAGCAGGGCTTAGCAGGTCTATTCTGCAAGCTGGGACAGCTGGGGGAGGATGACAAAAGACCCATCGGCAGCAACACAGGAACGGGGCAGGGGGCAGGGGGCAGGTGGGAGGGTCCGCTGGCAGTTTTCTCTCCTCTTCAGCTTTGGCCTGTCCCCCTGGGTGGGTGTTCTCTGTTGCCTATCTCTTGCGGCAATAATTCCAATGACAAAGAGCGAGATCTGCTGTTGCTGGTGGTGTTTTTTGTGAGATAGGATTTTATTATGGTGCTCAGGCTATCCTTGATCTCTTGACTCTCTGCCTTATCCTCCTGGTGCTGGGAGTGTGTACCACTACACCTGACAACACAGGGAAGGTGTGTTGATTTCTTTACAAGGCTGGGAGTCTCTCCTTCCTGACATCTAGAGGGGGGAATGAATGGATAGATGGATGGATGCAGGGTGGTTGAGGCTGAAAAAGTAACACCCATCAAGGGGTCCTCCCCTCACTAGGAAGCCAGCTCTGGGGCCCAAGATGGTCAGCCTGCTTGACTCCCCTAGATATCAGAATCTGAAACTGGGACACCACCAGCTTCCAGTGAAAGCCCAGGGGTGGAGCCAGCCAGGTGAGGCTAAAGCAAGAGTATAGCCAACCCAGGGGTATGGCTGACCCACAAGTGTCACCAAACTGGGGGGGAGGTGACCGGCCGGGCACTGAACCCAGGGTTGAATGAGGGGCAGTGGCCAACCCAGGGATGGAGCTGAGCCCGTAACCATTTTCAAAGGCCCTCATCTTGAGTTGTCTTCACTCCACAGCTCAGTCTCTGGTCGCTGACTGACCTGTCCGTCACTATTTCTCACAGCTTCCACCGAGGTCTGCCCGTTTCCAGTTGTGATATTTTTTTCCTTAAGAACCAGTGATGAGCTGTCATGGGGAGAATGCAGCCGGCCCCGGGCTGAGGCCGCGTTTGTGTAGGTGCCTGGGGTTTCTCACCTCAGCCCCATGACAGACCTCTGGGGACTGTCGGCAGACCCTCGCTAACTGGGCATCTCCCCAGGGACACAGCGCTGACACCAGCTCTCTGCCAGCTGGAGGGAAGGCAAACAAAGCGAACAGCAGGCTCCCTGGGCACGGAAAGCCACCGGGGCATCTCACATCACAAGGACTGGGCATAATCAGCCTTCAGTCCTCTCCCTCATCCACCAGGACCTCAGAGCCCTCATCTGTCAGTGAGTTTCACCATCCCAGCCTGACTACCCCACCACCACTCTCCACCCACACCCCCACACCCCACCCCTGCCCACGGAAGGAGCCTGCGGCAACATATAGAAAACTGAATTTGGGAGGGTCAAGGAGTTGTTGGGAACAAATTCCAGGCCATGGAAGATGCTAGGGAAGGCCTCCTGTGGCCCACTGCTCTGGAGTAACCTCTAGCAATGAGTTTAGCTGACCATCCAACTTGAGTTTCCTGAGTGAAGAGCCCTCATGCAGAGGAAGCTTGAAGCACTTTATACTATCAGTGAGGCGTGTGCACAGTCCTTAATATATCATCTCATTTGTAGGGAGAATGCATTCTCTGTAGCCTGCTAGATTTGTTTTGTGGATGTACAGTCTAATGTTATGTCTTGAAAGGTCTTGATTGTAATATACCAGGGTCTCCCTTTATTTCTCTCATTGTACGTTTTGTGATTTTTTAAAAAATAAAAACGACATTTTAAGGGGAAAAAAATGGAGTCCAGAGAGGTTACCCAATTCTGATGGCTGCAAAGCTTTACTGGGGGGATTGGAACTCAGGTCCGTATGAGCATAAGGCCTCTTGCTTTTAACTGTCCCATGTAGACTTTTTAGGGGCAAGACTATAATGCAGGTACCTTGGTCCAGCAAAAGACAGACGGGTGTGGTGTTGTGGGAGCTGGGGCTGGGTACATTACTGGCACCCATAGGCTTCAGCACATCCTCACCCCACCCCCACATACACAGGCACAGCCGCCTACCTACCTGTGCTTGATGGAGTTGCCAAGGTCTCTGCGTGGGATCTGCGGTGACCACCTCGGTACAGACAGAGTGTCTGTGGAGAGAAGAACAGACAGCAAGGTCATGGGCTGAGCCAGCTCTGCCTGGGCCATGGGAGTATAAAAGGAACCCCACCCACTGGCCTCAGGCAGGGTGCTGGTTGCTTTGGCCTAGGGAGCCATGCCAGGTGGAGCTCCAGTTTAGGTCAAGGGCTCAGCTCACAGGAGTCTCCCCAGGCAGGGCAGGCAGCAGATGCCTTCAAATATGTCAGCTGAGGTCAGGCTCGGGGAATCCCACTAGTCACTGCAGCAGTTAGGCTGAGACAGGAGGATTATGAGTTCAAGGCCATCCTGTGCTGCATAGTAATAGTCTGTCTCCAAAAAAATAAAATAAAAGAATAAAAGAAAAAAGAAAGGCAGAAAGAAGCTAGCTGCACATGAGATTTGATGGGGCGCCTCAGTGACTGGATAAAGGGTCTTGCAGCCAAGCCTAAAGACCTGAGTTCGATGCATGGGTACCACATGGAGGAAGGCGAGAACTGACTCTGTAAGTTGGTCTCTGACCGCACATGTGCCCACATACACACACAATGAATTAATTAAAAGTTACATTTTGTAATCTAAAAATAGAAGAGAGCGAGAAAGCGGAGTGGGCACTGTGGAAAGAATACAACGGAGCATGACCTCGGCTTTACGGCTCTCAGCATATGCCAACCGTGGGCTGAGGGACTCCCATGCCAGCCCCCGAGCTAAACGCATGGGGAAACTAAGGTTCTGAGAAGGGGAGTCACTGCACCTTATACTCTGCACAGTGGCTGGGAATCCTGGCATGAGGGACCCCAAGCCTGTGTCCCCACTCATGAAGTCATAAGGCAGTGGATTCCAGATCCCTCCCCCCTACTCCCAGGCTCCCCTTCTCTACAACACCTCCCTTACGGCCGGCCACATGATCGCTTACTTAACATGTTATGTTCGATCCTGCGTTCGGTTGTTCAAACATTTATTTCAAAAGCAGACTCTAAGTCTGGCAAGGTGGTACATATTTGTAATCCCAGCACTTGGTGGCCGTGAAGGACTGAGGCAGGAGGATGATGGTGAGCTTGAGGCTGGCCTGAGCTGCATATAACAAACACAGAACGTCCAGCTGTGTGCAATCTCAACTCATACTAGGGTAAACTGGATGAACGAATGAGCGAGTTAGCGCAAGGCTGACTGGATGAATGGGATGGAGGAGGACATGTGGATGGATAATGGATGAGAAGGAGAGTACGTAGATGGATGAAGGAGGGCGTGTGACGGAGGATGGGTGGATGGATACATGTATGGACGGATAATACTGGGCGGATGGATGGATGGGTGGACGGACGGACGGATGGATAAATAATAATGGCAAAGAAACAACAAAACGCACAGACTTCAGACTGGATGCCTGGCTCTGCTTTTCCTTCTCTTTCATTTCTTTTCATGCTTGGGACCAAATATGAACAAACCATATAGCCACAAACGACCGAGTTCCACGTCCTCTGAGACTTTAAGCACAAGCCCCACCCTCCCCCGGCACCTGCCCTGCCCTCACCAGCCTCCTAGAAGACCTTGCAGGCTGCAGACTAAACAGCGGCTGGGCGAACTAGTGCTGCCTTAGACAGACTGGGAGAGAGGCCAGTGGCCGCGCCCGCTTCTCAGCCAGATGGATGGAGCTTACCGGGGGTTCCAGGGCTGCAGATGCGCACCTCATTTTTCACAGACATTGTTATGGAGTGTCGCTCTCACTGGAGAGCTGGGCCTGTCAGAACACGTGGGAGAGCCTTTGACCCCAGTGGGCTCTCTCGTCTATCTAGCAATGGCGGCAGTCATCAGAAAGCTGTTTTTGGAAAGCTCTATGCTGCCCTTGCAAAGCTGAGATCCTTGCTTTGCAGGAGCTGATGGTTTTCCAAGTCCCCAAAGCTGAAGAAAACTGAAGAGGTGGCATGACAGAGCCATGAGAACCACAGCCTGCAGAATGCTTAACTAACAAGGCCATTTTACTACTTTGTCCACTTTCTGAGGGAGATTCAAATAAAAAAATGATGCTCTTTAAAAACATTTTCCTGAGCCAGGTGTTGGTGGCACACGCTTTTAATACCAGTACTCAGGAGGCAGAGACAGGTGGATCTCTGTGAGTGTAAGGTCAACCTGGTCTACAGAGTGAGTTCCAAGACAGTCAGACTATTTCACAGAGAAACCCTGTATCGAAAAACCACTATATATATATATACATATATATATGTATATATATGTATGTATGTGTGTATGTATGTGTGTGTCTAAGATATATATATCATTTATGTGATATATATATGTATGTATATATACATATATGTATATAATTATATACATACATACATATATTATTTCCATGTCAAACCCTCTTTCAGACTAACATAAGACATGGGATGAAAGACAGTACCCATTGACTCTAGAAGGCTGAAGAGGAAAGGAAGATGAACCTCCTGCGAGCCATCTACAAAACAGAAAGTACTGAATGACAGTCCACTCACAGGCCATTAGTAATACCTGACTAGAGCTGAGTTGAGGAGGACTGAAAGCAAGAGCCACGAGATTGATTACTAATGTCTGCCATAAGTGAGGAAGGCGGTACTCCTAACAAGCCTTGAGACTGATTAGTAATGTCTGCCATGTGTGAGGAAGGAGGTAGTCCTCACACATCTTGTATACATTTACCTCCTCTACAAAAGCAAGAACCAAATCTTCATCTTGGCATTCACCTCGGAGCATAGTGCCTGGGGCTGAATGTGTTCCTCACACACGTTTGATAAACCCAAGACTCTTATCTCAGAAACAGTTTATTGAACACTTAGTATGCGCCAAGAAATCCTCTGTGTACTTAAGAGCCTGGCATCTAGCTCCACAGCTATTCCCCGAGCATAAAGGAAAGCAAGGGAGCTCAAGGAGGTGCACAGACCCACTCAAGGCCGCATGGCCAGGCACCAGTGGAAGCAAATGTAAATGCAGCTCCCTAAAGGGACTGGAGAGACCGCTTGAGGGTAAAAGGGCCTGCTGTGCAAGCTTGAGGACCCGAGTTCAGTTCCTCAGCTCCCGTGCAAACCTTTGGGATGTCTGGAGATTTCTGAAGACATTCTGGGGGTGTCACACTGCGTTTGGGAGTTTGTTACTGGCAGCTAGTGGGGTGAAGGCAGAAGCTCTGCTTAACATCCCATAATACACAAGAGAGAGCTCTCCCTGTACACTGGACAAGTTAAAGCATCCCGAGTATCAATTGCATCAACGCTGACACTCATGATCTGGAAGTTTCTATAACTGCCTGCCCCCGAAAAATAAAGCATCTTAGACAACTGCCCCGGGCTCCATCGGGCACAGAACAAGTCATCTCAGGCTATGAGCATCTCCCATTAGCTCTGTGTCGCACTTAGTCCTCATCCGGCCCCTTTGTTCAGGGCAGACGCAATTAAGCCCCGGGGCTGGCTTTCACGTTCCAGGCTTGGCTGGAGGGGTACATCCTGTCAACTGCATTAACCTGAGAAGCCTCATTAGTCTGGAGCCCTCGCTCCCCAGGCTTGGCTCTGTCTGTGGGCGTGAGACTCGAACTCCAAGAGCCTCTCTGCTTCCTTTGTTTGGGTTTCATTAAACTTGCCAGTGCGAGCCTGGGAGCAAAAGGAAACTGTTGAAAGGGAACAGGGAGGGGGTGGGGGGGAAGATAGCGGAGAACAGAGGCCTTATCATAACAGGGAAGGCAAATAACATTTACGGCAATTAAACCGATCTAGAAACTTCTGCTTAACAACCAAAGCGTCTATTAAGATGTCTCCATAGCTGCGTGGAAGCCTCTTCCCCACCCTAATTTTCTGATAACAAGGCCGAGTACTGCACAGCACGGCTGCCTTCATCTCGGGGGAAGGAAAACAGATGCCTCTCTCAAGATATTTCCATTATCAGCACATGGAAAGAGAAAAAGTTGGGAGGACACTGTCCCTTGTGCCTAGGTCTGGGTGTAGAAAGCCTTTTAGGAAACACCCCCAAACAGAACGAGGGTGCGACTTAGGAGCCACAGCCTTTGAGACCACCTTGGACATGGCCTCACAACAGGACCGATGACACTGAACCAACAATGGGCAACACTCTCTTCTTGTAAAGCTGGGCTTGCAAGATGGACATCCAGGTCCCCCATAAGATGACAGGAAGTAGAAATTGGGGCTGCAGAAATGGCTCAGTCAGTAAACTATTTGCAACCATGTTAATAAAGTGTCCAGGTTTTATGGATGTTTTATTTGCCTTGGTTTAGTCAGGTTTTTTGAGATGGTCTCAGGTAGCCCAGGCTGGTTTCAAACTTGCTGTATAGCCCAGGCTGGCCTTGAATTCATAATCCACCTGCTTCTACCACCCAAGGGCTGGGATCATAGGCAGGTACCACTGTGCCTGGCTTTCATGATACATAAGTTTGTTATAAAACCTCAAGCTCTGAGCTGGAGAATCTGAACTCTGGGGTGTGTGTTTGTTTGTGTGTGTGTGTGTGTGTGTGTGTGTGTGTGTGTGTGTGTGTACATAAGAGGTACACAAAAATGTCAAACAAATCTGGAAGATGAAAAAGCAGAGGAAGTGGAGAAGGAAAAGGAGAAGAAATAAGAAGAAAATTAGAATAAAAAAATAATAAGCTGGGTGTGGTGGCACAGGCCTGAGATCCTAGCTACTGGGGAAGGTGGGGTCACAGGCTCACAAGCTCAAGGCCAGCCTGGGCTAAGGAGTAAGCTCAAGGCCAGCCTGGGTTAAGGAGTGAGCTCAAGGCCAGCCTGGGCTTAAGAGTGAACTCAAAGCCAGCCTGGGTTAAGGAGTGAGCTCAAGGCCAGCCTGGGCTAAGGAGTAAGCTCAAGGCAGCCTGAGCTAAGGAGTCAGCTCAAGGCCAGCCTGGGCTAAGGAGTCAGCTCAAGGCCAGCCTTGGTCACTTAGGCAGACCTTTTCTCAGTAAGTGAAATGGAAAAGAGGAGCTGGAGATTCAGTCATGGGTGCTTTCTTGGTGAGTTTGAGGTCCTGGGTGCTTCAC